CATCGACCAGAGGGCAGTATTGTTAAAGGATATGCTTCAGAAGAGGTGATTGAATTTTGTACAAACTATCTGAAAGGTGTTCCTGCTATTGGGATGCCACAATCAAGACATGAAGGTAGACTTCAAGGGATTGGTGTTGTTGGATTGAAAGTGATCATACCTAATCGTGATGAATTCCACCTAGCACATTTTACAGTGTTACAACACATGACAGTTGTCGCTCCATACATAAATGAGCACATGTCAATGTTACGATCTAGAAACAAACAAAGGTCTGAGAAATGGTATGTTAAGGAGCAAACCAGAACATTTCCAGCATGGTTGAAGGAAAAGGTGAAAGAAAAGTTAGATAGAGAAAATCTTGATCCTTTGGTTAAACTATTAGCGTATGGTCCGCGAAATGTCGTGTCCACTTACCAGAGCTACGACATTAATGGATATACATTTTACACCGAAAAACAGGATCGAAAGAGTACACAACAAAATAGTGGTGTGACATTAATAGCAACCGCGATTGGATACTCTAATGTGAATCACCAGGCACAAGCGATTATAGCCAAAGATTCATATTATGGTGTCATTCAAGAAATTTGGGAATTAAAATATGATTCATCAACTATAGTACCGCTCTTCAAGTGCAAGTGGGTCAAGAATAAAGGAGGTGTTAAAGTTGACGAAGACGGTTTCACACTTGTCGACCTTTCCACAGATGGCTATGTATCTGAGCCATTTATTCTAGCCAATCAAGCTAACCAGATATTCTATGTTGAGGACCCCAAGAATTCTAGATGACACATCGTCCTGCAAGGTAAACGACGTATACTTGGTGTTGAAAATGTTGAGGACGAGGAAGAATACAACCAATTTGATGAGTTACCTCCATTTTCTATCGGCATCACATCTTCAGATGTCATTATCAATGATAGTGCTTATTTAAGGTCAGACCACAACGAAGGAGTTTATGTTGAATCTAAGTAGAGAAAAAGGTATAATGTCATTTATTTAATTTAAAAAACCATAACAAAACAACTTGGTTGTCATTTGAAACGAAATAGATTATGATATTATATACTTACTATTTTTTGTTTGTTTGCAGAAACAAAAAATGACATCTTAGTTATGAAGACATCTACTAGAGAAGATATTTGTGTTTATTGACTTTGTTTTTTTTATTATAATGTATTTCAGTTCAATATTGTAAACAATTTAATCATTTTGATAACCGTATTTGGTTTTGGACCTTGCATCTAGTGTTGTTTTATGCAATTCCAAATTTGCCCTTATTGCTTGATCAAGACGTCAAGCTTGTCCACGACTCCCATGTTAACTACATTAGAAAAACAATTAAGAAAAAAAACAATTGGGCCGATCTTGGTTATTGAACCAGGCAAGTAATTTACCCAAAATATTTAAAATCCCCGCCATCCAAGAATTACCCTCCTGTACCCTAAATTGGACTGGTACGTATCATCCTCCAAAAATTACCGTCGGTATACCCTCTCCACATACGTTGCAACATCGTCTACACAGACGACAATCACTTGCAATTCTTCATAATCGGCTACCACTATCTACTCTCCCTTTACCGCCAGTGACCATCAGTCAAACTCAGTCGTCAATTGGCCATAAACTTTCCATAACCGGCAATCACTAGTCAAACCTCCGCTACCACCTTCACAATCGTCGATCGTCGTCGATCACCAGGTACTTTGTTTTTTTAGTCGACCCTTTTGAACATTTTGTTCTGATTTTACTACGTGACCACACTATCATCTTCACTCTTCTTCATACTATCAGTAAACAACTAAATACCCAATTGTATGCGGAGTTGGTAACTATTAACGATGTTTTGATGATATATCAACTTCATTCGTCAAAAGAAAGAAAATAAAGAAATCTCTGTTACAAACCAAATGAATTGAATGCAGAATAACAACGAATGCAAAAATTAATTGAATGCAAAACCAAATTAATCTAATGAAGAAGGGATTTAATATTTTAATTGTTGCATTGGAGAATAAGAGATGAAAGTCACGTAACCTGAACAAGAATGGCAGCAGCAAGTAGTTAACATGCAGGAGATTTTGCAATATTTAATTAGGTTTTATGCTAACTAATTAGGGAAGGGTATAATAGTACAATCATATAGAATTTAAACTAATTGTTAAGCAGTTGGGATGAATTTAAACTAATTGTTACTATTGTTCTTTTCTGTTTTGTTTTTATTATATGGATCCATTATTAACGATAGACTGTGTTTAATATAAAAAAGTAAACATGAGATTGATTAAAGAACAATAATTTTTTTTTTACACTTTATAATGATATGCAAGTACCATGTTAAAAATATTAATATTTAATTATTTAAGCAAAATCTTGTTATTTTGAAAAACATTTTACTAAACTAACCTGATAGTTGCAGTGAATCCGAGTTCTACAGTAACCTGCCCACCCAATAATGGAAAATATAGAACGGAGTAAGAGAAGCGTCACATTGATAAGGGAACAAACTAAAGAAAAATTAGCAACATTGCATGTTGATTTTGATAATTATAATCGAGCTATTGGAGAGTATCAACCTAAATTTGCAAGTTATTGTGGAGTCGCGGCCAGGAGTAGGATTTCTATACTTAAAGAGAGTTGGGATAAAGTATCTAAGTCAGAGCTCCATAACTTGTGGTTGGACATTAAGGTATGATATTTATTACTTGCTAAATGTTATTTAATTAATAATTGTTACTGATAGTTACTATACTTTATTTTAAAAAACAGAATTATTAGAATATACCAAATGATGCTCCCAAAAAACAAACACTTAAAGTATGCAACCAGTCATGGAGGGCCTACAAGTCGACGCTTGTTACTGATTTCATGGACAATGATCTTGATGCATCAACTTTTTACCCGTACCTAACCAAAGAAGCATGGGAAGATTTTGTTAAGCTAAAATCCACTGAAGAATTCCAGGTTTTTTGGGCTTTAGTTCCTATTTATGATATTTTTATACAATACATATTCTAATTGCATTTATATGTGTGAAGGAAAAAAGGAAAAAAAGGAAGGAGACTGTGAAGAAGAACAAAAATCCAGCTCACTTAGGCCCATTGGGGTATCGTGGGAACAAAGCTCGGTGGGATAAAGATATCGAGTTAGGTACAAAATAAAAGGACACCATATATCAAGCGAGCAGGCAAGAGATTTTATCTATGCTAGGAAAAAACGCACTCCCTCAGGGGATTACATTGTAGCGCCTAAGAGTGAGCAATTAGCGGATGAGTTTGTAAGTGTATTTTTTTTCTTCATCTCTATATACCATTTATTTAATAAGTAATTTAATAAAATCCTTTTGTTTGCATTTACAGATATCAAAAGATAAACCCGAAGTTGATTTGATGGCAAAGGTTTTAGGAAAAGAGCACCCTGGACGCACGAGGGCGGTGGGTTATAATGTCACTCCAAAAGAATCAAGGATTAACCAGAACAATAGGAAACAACAAGAGTTACCAGATTTGGAAGATTTGGTGACGAGGCTAGAGGAGAGTTTGTTTAATAAGTTATATGAAAAGTTATATGATAAGCTGATGACTGATATGGTGTCTGATATGATGGCTAAGGTGGTAGAGACTGTCGGGGACATGGACGACTCTATGGTGGCTACTAGTGTGAATGATGGCATGATGCAACATAATGATACTCGTAGGAACGAGGCAATAAAAGTTAGAAGCCCGAAATTGAAGAA